CTTTTTATAATAAAAAAAAACAAATATAAAGAACAACTGATTACAACAATCAATTATTATCTTAATCGATTCATTTCTACCAGCTGTGTAACAATTTAATGACTGTACGTGCTACTTATGCGACAATTATGTAAATAAATTACAACGATTCCCAGTGTCGCGCGTAACATTTGCACGCAAATGAGTTCTTGTGTCAGAGACTTGCAACCGATCAAAAACAAATAATGAATATGTGCATACATGTTGAAATATGTATGCGAAATATTGAAAATTACATCAGCATTTATTGCAAAACTAGAAATTTCTTGTTTTTCTTTTGCACTCTTTGTCTGCGTAAGAAAAACAAAGTTGAGATAACATCAATAATGCGATAATCATGCATATGTTATATGCATACACATACATACAAAACACTAATTTACAGGCAAATTTTGCGTCGTAACCTTTTGAATACACGTCATTTATCTTCTTAATGAAATTCGCGATGAAAGATTCCGCCGAAACGACATAATTCGATACGTTTAATGAGATCTGAAATCGCTTGCGATGTTTTAATCCCCTAATAATGTGTGAACGTGTTTAATCTTTTAATACCTGGCTTTAATCAGCCGCACGCAAATATAAGCTTCTAAGCAGATTTCACAACATCTGTTCTCTCGTAATGCTACAAACCACCACAATAAACTACACAATAACCCGTATAAAATGGATTCAATGCATTAGTAGTGATTGTAAAATCTTTCATTTTGATGTAATTGAAATTTCTGTAAATCTCTATAACACTTGATTTTAACTTTATGCGTAAAATGCAAATTCTATATTCTTTCATTTAATTATTCTCAATGAAACATTTTCTATTTCTAATTTTCGCGATACATATCTCGACATTGACATTATTGCAATGTGATCTTACTTCGGTGTTTTGCCAAGTTTATGCTTCATTGCAAAAATATTTAAAATCTTTGTTCTTCAAAGTAAAGCTTATCATCAGTAAACATTGCATATTAAGAGAATAAAATTATACACAGAAGAAAATATTAAATATTTATTCAATATTGAATAATTATTAATATATAAATAAATTATTTAATTAAATATTTTAAAAATAAATATATTTATGTAATGATATTTACATAATTAATAAAACGTAATTATATATCAGTATTTATATTATTAAATATATAATAATTAAATATTTAATAATTATAAAATGTCCAAAAATATAATTTTTTTTTTATACAATATATGCAATGTCATCTTACGAAATGACATGATAGCTTATCAGGTATAATCTATATCCTACAGAAGAAGTAGAGAGAAAGAAATGAAAAAAAAAAAATGATGCTGTATCTCATTATAAAAGCGTGCACTTTTGCATCTCGCCAGCTAAAGGTTTATTATTCGTAATAATGTTTAGTTTAAAGAAAAGTCGAGAGAGAAAGTATAATCTTACCTCGTCCCAGCCAGTTCTTTCTCCTCGTCTACGTGCTTTAACTATGGCATTCTTCATGGTATAGCGAATCAATGGGTAATAATCCTCCAAGTCCTCGCTGTTCTCACTGACATTTTCATCGGTAATTTTCTCGTCCGTTAATCGCATCGTATACTGATGCGCGTAATGTCTCACCGCCATTCTTCCCGCGATAATTTTCACTCTCGTTTAATCACTGATAAATATTCGAGCACACGCGTGCGTTTGCATTCGAAACCCGACGACGTTATTTGCATCTGCTACGGAAGCAGTTTCACCAAACACTGTCAACAGACGAAAGACGATATATATATAGCGAGATAAATGACGTAAAGAGAAATCCAACAAGGACGTAAAAATAGCAGAAAAGATTTTTGCACACTTTTGGTTATATATATGTATATCAATCAATACTCATGAATATACATAATAATATTATTTATATATATATATTTTTTTTCCTTACATATTTTCCTTATTGTGGCTAACATATGGTAATTCCTTTTATCATTAATATAACACAAGATTTATGTGGAATAGCAATGCTATTAAAATGCTAACGATAATGACGTAAGAAAATCACATAATATTGATTATTAATATATTACTAAATTTATATTACATTTAATTTATATGCAACATTTATATAAATTTATACTAAATTTTATATTATATTTCGAATTTAACAAATTTATCTCTTATTTATACTTACTTATATAAATTAGATATACAACTGGAAAAATCAATTTATTTGAAAAACTTATTTAGCATATCTAAAAAAGATGTATCTACACGATTTCTCGATATGACTTGATATATTATCCTTCACACAATCGCTTCGCATATTGCATGTGATAAGCGAACAGAACAACTCGTCAAACGAGATTCTAATAGAGTCTCAACGTCGCCGGAAACTCGACGTAATCCCAGACACACAAACACATCCATTACGATTAAATTGCACTTGGAACATCCGGATACATATTCTAACCTGATGACACAAATTCCTGATTAAACAACTATTTGTAATTTATGATGATTACGTTCTAATTTTCCGCTATATATAACTTGTATAAATCTTGTTTTAGAATTTAGAGTTGTAGGATATAATTTTAAACTTGTTACAAACATTTTCTTATCGTCCTAGGAAATGAGTAAGAAAATAGAAAATATATTTATATAAAAAATATTCGAAAGAAATAGTGAACTCGTTCTATATACATGTACGTGCAATGCATGTCATTTTTCTTTATTTCGTTAGAATATTCATACATATACATATGTATATATCTGAAAATACGAAGATAACAAATTATCACACAATAAGCCATGTGTTAAGCATTCCAAAGAAATCGTGCATTTACGTACATTTAGATAACATATGTTTCATTTTTTTCGAATCAGCTTTAACAATTACCAATAAAGTATATCTTATCAATCGTAAACACATATAAATTATATCCATTATTTGCAAAAGTAATACATAATTTCTCTAATTAAAAATAAATTCTTCAATTCTCTATTTTTTGGTATATAATTTTTCATTTCTGGGAGAATTTTATTTTAGAAAATAAATGATGAAGTCGTCAATTTTATTTCACGTAAATTCATAAAATTTATCGTAATCAATAAAATGTACAATAAAAATGTTTTAAAGGATATAAAGATAGAATATATTTTAATTTTCGACAAAGAATATTGCTGAAAAATTCGTAAAAAGAACATACTTCATTATGCAAGAGATTCCAAGTCTTGTAATTCTCACTCTTATGCGAAATTCCGTGGAATCTACTTATTGTTAGCTAAAAACTTTCACGAAGTAAAACTGATTCGTAATATGCATCACGTGGCAACTCTCGCGATTCTCTCAGTGAAAGGATGATTTTTCTCTATACTAGTCTACGTTCCAATAAATAATAACGGAATGAAATTCGCAACACGAAAAGAACTTGAAACTGTACATTGTGTTATTTGACATTTGTCGATACGTTGTCTTCGATTAAATTTATATTCGTTATCTCAAAGACATATATGTATGAAATTCAGTGTTTAGTGGAAAAATCTATATTTAGATACGTGGTAAAATTAATTTAAACTTTCTTATTAATGTATGGATGTTGTATGCGATAAATAATATTTTAAAGATTTGTGAAACACATGTGTAAAATTCAAATTTAATGGATAGTTTTCTATTTAATAAAATGTCAAAATTTATGTTTCAACCCTTTACTACTGTGGATTAATTTAACATCTCTTATTAATGTATGATAAATAAAATTTTTGGAATAATTTTAAAGAATTATATATGAACAAAGAAGCTAATGTAAAATAACACAAGTCGACACACATAGTACGACTGTAGTAGCATTGTCTGCATGTGGATAATAGCACTTTTGCAAGGCAACATGTTCCTATACTGCGGTGTAATTATATACAAATTGCGAGAGTGATTTCATAACACTGCTATGACTGATTCCTAAATTCGCATCATAGCATACATTAGGATATAGCAAAACTTCCGGTCAATTTTAACAATTTAAAATCGTCGACTGAATTTTAAATCAATTTTCAAAAACGACATCGAGTCTTTTACAACTTTACATTATCAATTATTTTTTAATACTATTTTTTTTTATTTATGATTCGTCGCAATCTGAAATTTTTACATCGATTTCTCAGGACTTGGTTGGCAAACTAACGAACTTTTACCGTAAATTTTTTTTCGCATTATTCACGTATATCTTCTGCCACCGCGGAACTTTTGAAGCGGCACGCGGCACCGCCGTTTTCCGACTGACAGCTGGAAGAGAAAGGAGCCGCGTTGAAACGCTCATGCACACATGGCCATGACACGTTGTTTGACACCGGCTTATCGGCCTTACAGTCGCTCAGCTGAGCCGGTACCAAACCAACAAGCACGTAACATAATTTACGTAAGATTTGCGGCTAACCCCTTATCAACCCCTTTCCTTTACGTTTATGTCGAAAAAATTAAGATGATTCGCGAAACAGAAATTGATATATAAAAATAATTAGGGAAAAAGGTGACGAAATGATTCTTCTATGATTATAGGAAAAATATTTTAATATATATATATGTTCTGATATAAAGATTAATAATGTATTTATTAGTGTTTCATTCTACGATATATTAATTATAAATAATGATATAAATATTATTTATATTTTTGGCGTTGAACTGATAAGGTTCGTCATCAAATTTGTGTATTATTATTAACACAATAATTTTAAAACTTGTTAAAACAATTTTATGACTAAAATAATCTTGTATAATTTTACGGATTGCGTACAAGAGAGAATTATATAAAATTATACAAAGAATTTTTTTTATTTTATTTCCAGCTTATTTATTTATTGTAATATATATATATATATATATCACTTTCTGTCGGTAATGAATTTTGACTTACTTGTTACATGACAACTCTCCAGATGGAGGAGAGTTACAAAAATAGAACCGGTATTATATTTTTTTTTCATCTCGACTTTAAATAAAATTTAAGCATCGACTTTAATCATTTAATACGCACAAATTAAAAACAAAGTTACTACTGCAACTTAATTCAAGGAGCAGAAAAGAATGTGATGTGATCAGATTGTCATGTTGTTAAACACGTGATACATCGCACTTTAAATACTTATAGGTTATATTTGATACCACGATAGAGGAGAATCGTGAAAAATAAAGATTTTATCATATATATTTCCTGTGTATAGAGAAATAATTGAATGCAAAGTATTCAATAGAAATTTATTTTTTATGAAACGTGATATTTTTAAGAATTACACGAAATTCTTTATCTTAAAGAAGCATGGCCAGAACAATTGTACAGAGAATAACTATAAATCTCCTGCTGAAGCCTCAGACTCAACTGCAGCTTGTGAAGCTTGCTTTGCCATCATATTTCAAGGAACATACGCTCGTTAGATCTATTTCACAAAACAGGCTACTGTACAAAGATGTAGATGTATTGGATCATACCTGTGAAGTGTCAAATTACGATGCGTACCTGATAAATTACAAACCTGTTGTACGAATTATTGTGCAAACTCTCAAAGAAATCTTGGATACAACGTCAACGGAGACAAATAAAATTATTACAGATAATCCTCAACTTAAAAAGCGAACCAGGGCGAATATCTTGAACAATTATTATAATCTCATAGATGCAGGTGTACTGAAAAACACCATCATAAAAAATGCCTGGTTATTGGCACATGAAAACAATAAACTCAAAGATAAGCTCGATTGTATCAAAGTACTTAATATGAACAATGATCAACTTATACCGTGGCTACGTTTGACTCAGGAGGAATTGACAAGTTTTGTACTTTATACGCAAAATGATATGGGTCCTTATACGTACAACAAGATTGAACATCTTGCTCATAGACTAGAGGTACAAATTTAATTGTAATAAATATTAAATTACTGGGTATATTGATGTGCAAATTGCACTGTTAGTAAATTATACATGCTCTAAGATAATATTTTTTTTCAGTGCAACGTAGAAAAATTATGCGAATTAGCAGTACGGTATACTTTCTTATTAAAAATTCCAATTTCCTACATAGACAAAAAGTTGAACATATTACATGGTAAGAGAAATATATAAATTGAATTATGTAATAGGAGCACAATATCTATAAAAATATTTAAAAATTTAATAATCTCTCTAAATAAAAATTTCTATTTTTATAGAGTATGATGTAAGTAACAAGCATATATTGAAAGATTTATGGGTACTCCGATACAGTGAAAATCATATACGTCACAGATGTGAATTGTATAAGGATACAGGAAATTTAGAGGTAAAAACGTGGGCTATAAGATGTCCACTTAGAGTTATAGCAAGGTGGGTTATTTCGATAAAATATCTTTTATTCTTGCTATCTTGTTCTTAAAATTAATCCTGTATGATGTTTCACTGTTATCACTTTGTTAAAATTAAAATATCTTTACCTTATTCATATTGTTTTGATAGTTTTCTTATATACATATATTTATATTGATTAAATATAAAATTAAAAAATATTTACATAAATCTTTCTTACACATGTCAAATGAATAGGGCAATATAAAATATTCTTTACAGAACCATTCAAAAGAATACCCTGAAACGCGGTTTAATGAGGCATCATACGAACGTTAACGAATATTTGATGAATAAATTAAAGGTCGATGAAGAAAAACTCAATCAGGCGGTCGCGAAATCGCCGGGTATTTTACGGGTGAACTTGTTGAAATTAAATCGATTAATTAACATATTACACCAAAATGGAATTACTAGCGACGAAATACTAAAAAATATACGAATCTTTTATTTCAACGTAGAAACTGTAGAGAACCGAATTAAAATTATGAAAAAGGAACGTCTCAATCCGAGACTTGCTGTGCTGGTAGTAGCCGAGCAATCCTTTGAACGGTATGTAACAGTGACATAAAAATCATAATAGAAAGCCTAATACTTTATATATTTATATAATTATTTCTGATTAATATACCATGTCTATAGATTAAAGCATTAATAAATACATTGTTATTCTTTATATCAGAACGATGATAAACAGACAATTATTATTCTCGTATGAGGGATGAATTATAAAATATTGGCTGTATTTTCAATTTCTGTTTATATAGGCATATAGAAAAAATACTTCTACAACGAGAAATATTGCAAGAGCATCCAGATGTTAAAGAATATTTAATCAATAGATTAAATGTCGATCAAAAACTTCTTGAAAAAGCCATTACAAAGTGGCCGTCCATCTTACGAGTAAACATACGAAAAATAAATCAATTGATTAATTTGATGCAACAGAATGGCATAATGGGCGACGAAATAGTACGTTATCCGCGAATTTTTTATTTTAATACGGAAACTATACGCAAACGGATTGAAATGCTAAAAGAAGCTGGCCTGTCGCCGAAGATCTCTTTACTAACATATTCTCAAAAAGATTTAAATGAATATATAAAGAATAAAGTACATAAATTTTAAAAATATTAGTTTGTAAAAATTGAAATCTAATAAATTTATTCTTTTAATATTAATTATTTTTTGTAACATATACATTGTTATTAAAGCAGAAATATATGGAGATTTTAAACAAGGAAAGGCGAATTTAATCGCTCTGTTATTGATACAAATACATGTATCGAATAAAGTGCGATTTGTGAAGATTTTGTGTTGATAATATAACATATTTACGTATTATTAAGTATTATTTAAATTAGAATTAGCTATTTTTACTTTATATGTTCCAACGCTGATTTTTAATAAGTAAAGATTAAAGTAAATCTTCTGTGTTTATCTTCTTCAGTTAAAATTTTTTTATTCATATGACACATTAAATACACGATAGTTCTAAAAAATAATTAAACAAAATACAAAAGAGGAAGACGAAAATATTATATCATATCAATTTTTCTTGCAAATGTATATCAAAATATGATTAATTTTCTCAATCAAGTCATTGCTATTGTTTTGTAAAAAAATACAAATGTTAATAAAAAAAAGTTAATATTTTATTCACACATTGCATTTATGTAATGTCCATTGATTTCTCTCAAACCACTAATCTTGCAAAGTTTAAGCAGATCTGGTATATGATTGTCATTCAAAATTGCAAAATTTTTAACGAGTTCCTTTTTTAAAGAATATCCTATCATGTCAGGGTGATTGAGCAACTTTGTTCTAATTTGAATATCGTCTAACCATATTGTATTTCCGAGATGTAGACAAACCTGTGAATAATTGATTAATGTATTTTCTTCTTCCCATTGTATATTTTTCACTCGTAAAATCGTGTAAAAACTTACTTTTCCAGTAATATAAGATCCACGACCGTTTTTCTCTGCGAGCCATTTATGAACCGTTTCATTAATATGATAATTCCATTCGTATTCTTCATCCTGTGGTGCTACACCAGCTAAAAATATTTCTACAACGTGTGTTGGAAGATTTGATAATTCTTCTGGAATATGCATTAATTTGCATACCTAAAATATTTAAAAAACCCATAAATTTGTAACAAAAAAGCGTAGATCTCATATTTAATATTAATATGAAAAGGCTATAATTTTTGAAAACTATTACTCAATTGAAGAAATACTTAATGCACAATTTAAATATAGGCTTTATAAAATAATGATCTTACATTAACACATTCGTGTATAACACCGGTATCGATGCATCTCACATCTACAAAATCTATGTCTTCGGAAGTGTTTTTATCATATCTGATACGTAGAATTTGTATTCGTTTAAATACGTCTAAGGATTCCTCTAGAACACAGATATCTCCTACGTCCGTCGAGGTACACACTTTCCTGTAATTATATAATTGTTTATTAAGAGAACAAAAAATCATAAATAAGCTAAAAGAATATAGAAAAAAATAAACATATTTATTTTAAAAAAATTGCATTCCGAATAATATATACCTGTTTTCAACATTTTTATAATATTCTTGTATTTTAAATGAAGTTTGCGCGAACTCCGCGTCGGAAAATTTTATCTGCTTCATTTGGTTACTTGAATGTGCTATGTATTCGAGTATTCTTGCAGAGAAATGCGTTGAATCGTGAATATACATCAAATTCAATATTACCTGGTCATTTCTGAAATGAGAAAGTGAGATTTTGTAAAACATTGAATATATCAAGATACAAGATATATAAGATAACAGAGAATTACTTACATCCGTATACTTGTCATTGGCGCATCAATTTCAGGTACTATATAATGTCTGAATTCACAGTTTCTCTTTTGGCAGAAGCCTAACAATTTCACATTATCACATACAGCATACTTCTTTTTATTCTTTTCAATCGTAATTGCGATTTTCTAAAATTATATTTTATAAGAAACTATGGCGATAATTTTGACAATTAACATTCTCTTAACTTACCTCAATCTGTTCCAAAAATGTCGAAGGTATCACAACATTCATCCGTTTCAATATTTTTGTTAAAGGTCCAATTTGTTGATCATTTTTTTCGTCGATAAATATACTAATTTTACAATTTTTTTTGGCATCCTTAAATTTATAATAATATATTAATTTCAGAATATATATATATATATATATATATATATATATATATAATTGTGCGTATATATTTAAATATAAATATTAAATAACATCAGAGAGTGTTCAGTAAACTAAGAACCAAAATTTTTTATTTTTAATAAATTTAATTACCTGTTGTATCAAATTATCTAAAAGTACAGAAAACCTATAACTGAATTTTGTTCTGAATTGTAACATCACAGAATGATGTATTAGCCACTGAATATTAGTAAAATTCAGATCAGCTAAAACTCCATCAGTACATATCAGTATTGGATACAAGCCACGTATACATGCTTTCCAACTTTCTTGTAAAGCTACAAAGTAGATGTAAATTTTTAATTAAAACAAGATTTTTAAAAACGTACTGATTACATTAATTAAATTAATTACCTGCAAATTTAAATATAATAGAATAATATAAAACATTCTGAATATAATTAATTAAAATGTCACTCTTGTACCTTGTATATCAGATGATATCATCTCTTCGTGAATCAGTAGAGTTTTTTTGTTCAAACCTTCTAAAAAACTATTTAACTCTTTGGCTTCTTTGGCATTTATACATACTATCATTGTTTTCATTGTAGTATAATTATCCTTCATTAAAACTAAAAAAGTATATTAAAGAAGATATATCAAAAATATTATTTTTATACTACAGATAATCAACATTAATATAGCTAAACGTTCACATAAATACCAATCTTATATATAGTTTTCTTACCTGATATTTGATTGTTTTTGTTTTTTGATCTGCACATATACACATCTGGACATACAGATTTAAAACAAATAGCTTCTGATAATGATGTGATGCATATATATGGATTATACATTGCCGATATAAATGTCTTAATTTGAGATGTACACTCTGTTGCCGATATAATTATCTGCAGTATCGGTCTATTGTCACCTTGTGGTTCACGATTTTTGATTACTTTATATTTCTTGAATAGTTCTCCTATCTAATTAAAATGTCTTATAAGTTTCTTCAAAGCAAATAATGTTAATAATATATTTCAATTTCCTTTCTCTCTCTCTATCTCTCTTTGCCTCTATCTTACCGAGTCTTTAGACTTATCCAAAAGTTCATCAGCATTGTCAAGAACTAGATAAGAAAGTCTATCAAATGACAATAAATTTTTATTCTTACGCAAGAATCGAACTAGACTACATGGTGTAGCTACTAAGATTTGACAGCCTGCATAAATAGATGCCTGAAACAAGAAAAGTGATTAGTTTTCACGCATCTTACTTTGATGAAATACTAATATAAATAATTTTCTGTGAAAACGTATAGAAATTTACCGCTAATGATGTGTCCTTTTTGCCGATACACGCTGATACAGCTTTTACATTATTAAAAGATTGCAGAAATGACATGCACAATGATTGAACATTAGTTACTTCAGAAGACGAGGTACATAAAATTAGTGCTAGAGGATGAGTCGCGCTATGTGACACTTCCTAAAATATGTAATATCATATAATTACAAAGATGTGTGGACGTTATTGAGAAATATAAATTTAACACATATATATTTTGTTCTTAAACAATTATTAAGAATTCTAACATTCTTAATTAATTACATTTTGATATTAAATAAGACAATAATTACATTTTGACGCATAGCTACTAGACCACAAACAGCCATTACACATCCACTAGTTTTACCACATTGTGATGATCCAATAGCAACAACATTGAAACCATTATTTATAGCTGGCCATATATAAGACTGAATTTTTCTTGGTCTCGAAGATTTGATACATTTGTTCCATCCCTAAAATAAAAATATATTATAAAAGATATAACTTATATTTTACATTCTCTGTTAGTATATGTTAATCTTAGTATATGTTAATCAATTAACTACTCAACTACTCGATTATATAATTATATATTACCTCATGTATTCCTTTAGGATAACTAAGATCTCTAACATCATTTAAAACCCCACAATTTGTTGTGCACTGTATGAAAACCTTCTCACTAACAATAGAAAAAAATATGAGACATAAGAAATATTAATTACTAGAAATTTTGCAAAAAATATTCTTACCTTAGACAAAATTTCTTAAAAGAATAATTAATGTGCGCATCATTAAAAAGTTGCTTTGCATTATTTCTATTTTTTTTACTATTTGAAAACTTTGTATTTATGATGTGTTCTTTTATATTTTCTTTGGATTTTGTATGACCTTCAATGAGTTGTAATAAATCTAGATAATAATTAAACTATGAGACAGTGCAGTTTATACTTTGATATTAAAAATTACTTTTCCATATATTAAAAATTTATCCATTAAATATATTTTAATGAATAAGTTTTAATATAGGAACATTATATGTATTACAATAATATTAATGTATACCTCCTTCTATACGAACTGCATAATAATTAATAATTAAAGCTGTACTTAATCGTACGACATCATTATCAATAATTAGATAAAATTCTCCATATTCTCGTCCATTCGTCTCATCCGTCATTAAATGATCAAAGTATACCATTTTAGACGCGTATAACATATCCTTAGCAAATTCAATTGCTTCTTCGCTCCATTCTTCTACAACACTTTAAATAATAGCTATTTTTAAATAACATTTTATTAAAGAAATAGCATTAACAATTATAAATCTTACATTGCTGTAGACTTTGAACCATTGGAACCATTGAAATCATCGGAATCATTGAAATCATTGAAACTATTGAAATTATTTGAATCATTCTTTTTCATGCGAATTGGCAAAAGATTGTACATGCCAATAGTTCTTGTCAAATATTTTTCAGGAATAAAATTCTGTGGCACTACACAAAATTTATCCCTCGTTAATTCTATGCTAGTACCATGATCCACCAAAAGAATACAATATATCTTCTTTTCCTTCTTAATATACATTATTAAACCTCGACAGATAAATGATGGTAACTCTGCTCCATTTATATAATTACAACTCTGTACCAGCACTATCTGCAAATAAATATAGTAGAAAAGATAATTTCTCTTACATTAAGTATAATACAATTGATTTATCTACATTAAGTATAATGCAATTAATTATAAAAAATAGCAATGGTTCAATTAATTACAATTCAAATATAACACATAGAGTATACATAAAACTTACATCACCAATTTTGGGATCTTCAGCATTATCTTTCTGTTTTAAATAGTCTTCAGTTTTCATGAAACTCATTAATTTTCTTTGAATCTTATCACGTTTTGCTGCATGTTGCTTAATTTCATAAGCTCTTATAATATATGGATTCTGTATATTTGTTACTTTAATCGCTATGCTTGTACTAGGAATATTATCTGAAGTACTATCTGAAACTAAATACAATAGATTTAAATTATACATAGATACATATATATATATATATATATATAGATTTAGAATACAAATAAATTTTTATTCATTGAGATACTGTTCTAAATTGTCAATGAATAATACCTTGATTATTGATAGTATTCATCATTTTTGTACTCGCTGAAGCCTCTTGTTGTGACATGTTTGTGATATTTTATAATTCTATTTGGAAAATTCAAGCATTCTTTTTATGTTTTATATAATTTTTTATATATTTTTTTTTATATTGTTGAGAGTAAAATTATGTCTTTCACTTTATCTTACCTTTTGATTGTACTATTTTGATTGTAGATTTTTCAACAATAGCTGGTATTTTTTATACATCCGAGAAATTAGAATCACAAACAAGTATCCTAATACACAAACAAGTAACCTAATAACCTAACCTATAAAAAGTTTATAATTCACACAAAGAATATTCCACTTAAAATATATACATATATATAATTTTTTTCTGTTTGCAAAAATAATAATTATTTTATGAAAAACTGAATTTAATATTTATATAATCACTCAATTTGTAAAATTAAAAATGTTAAAACATGCTTTTATTTTTACACGACACTTTATTAATAGTTAGTTATTAGTTAATATTTTATTTCAACACTTATATGACCTTTTTAAATTAAGCGAAAGAACATAAAGGAAAAATATTTTAAAGGAGAAGTTTCGAAGATTCTCTACATCTATGTATCATAACTTACAATAAAACTCCCAGATCCAGATCCCCCAGAAATTCCAGCTCCAGAGAAGGAAAGCGAGAGAGAGAAAACCTGAACCATTCCCTCTCTTTCTCTCTCAACCCAACAAAGAATGTCAAAAATAATCATATTTACGAGTTTGTTGGCGTTATTTTATGCGTTCAGACGTGTTTCGTCTGAAAAATTAATTCAGTTTTTAAATATCACACAATTATCTGTTTTAATTATCAATTCAAGCCTGCTGATGGCCAAAAGTCCATTCATCAAACTATTTTGGGCATTTTATAATCGATATTTATCTATAACACTATTAGAAGTAAATAAGTTCTTTGACCCAATAGAATTCTCTTCATGAATTTATTGATTATTTTATTATTAAATTATTTATTCAAATCCTGCACGTGTGTGAAACGAAATAATAATCAAATTAAAACATATGGATTTAAAAAAAAATAGCAATGGTTCAATTAATTACAATTCAAATATCACATAGAGTATACATAAAACTTACATCACCAATTTTGGGATCTTCAGCACAACACTTTAAATAATAGCTATTTTTAAATAACATTTTATTAAAGAAATAGCATTAACAATTATAAATCTTACATTGCTGTAGACTTTGAACCATTGGAACCATTGAAATCATCGGAATCATTGAAATCATTGAAACTATTGAAATTATTTGAATCATTCTTTTTCATGCGAATTGGCAAAAGATTGTACATGCCAATAGTTCTTGTCAAATATTTTTCAGGAATAAAATAAAATAACTATATATATATATACATTTTGTATACATATAAAAATCATATAAAAATGAATAATTCTATATATATTATATTGGTTTCAAATTATATATTATATAAACAAATAATTCTTATATATTATTATAAATCTTTTATATTTTCTTAAAAATATTAATCCATCTAAAAAAGACATCATTGAAATGACCCAATAGAATTCTCTTCATGAATTTATTGATTATTTTATTATTAAATTATTTATTCAAATCCTGCACGTGTGTGAAACGAAATAATAATCAAATTAAAATATATATGATTTAAAAAACTATATTATATACATTTTGTATACATATAAAACCATATAAAAATGAATAATTCTATGTATTATATGGGTTTCAAATTATATATATATAAACGAATAATTCTTATATATTATTATAAATCTTTTATATTCCTAAAAATATTAATCCATCTAAAAAAGACATTGAAATGTAAAAAGGTTTCTTCTTTTCGCAGTGATACCTTAATTTATTAGACAGATATATACCTTACACATATTTTTTCTTAGCTTTATTCAAAGGACCATTTTATTAATATATATGTTTTTGCATATTTTTGAACGCTCTCTTTTATTTTTATGTTAAATTAATTTTTTCTACCATGACACTATACTGCGTCTCTTGATAATAATGAATTATATATATAACAGTTGTTTTATAAATTATTATATTTTGTTTCATATACATATATTTCAAAATGTTTGAACAACTTATAAAAATTGTCTTTACAAAAAGCAGAATAAAGATACATATATAATATAGGGGTGGGAGAAGCAATATGGATCTCTTAAATACAAATGGGAAAATGCATTTATTCTCGTACGAAATGAATACAAAAAATTACAAGAATTACATGTGTATAATACTAAAAAAAATGCATTTACCATCTACTTTATTGACCTACCAATCGTTTTCGCTTACAATAAATGAATTGCGCGGGCACTACTACAAAATCGCGATTCGTATTAAAGAAAATATTTGTTAGTGTAATTATAAATAAAGGTACGACGAAAGAGAAAAAGAGAGAGAGGAGAAAGAGAAAGAGAGAAAAAGAATACACGGTGCGCCTGAAATATCGTCGCGTTTGTCCTGGTATCTGTCCTCGCAAAATTCTGTCTTTGCGTGTACAACGATGTAATAGCTTGCTTGCCAGGGTTTGTCTCTGTTTTGCTTCTCACAAACGGATACCTGGATTTCGGGACGCGACGAAGTTGAGGAGTTCGTCGCTGTCCTCGCACACGAAGGGCTTGACATGGTGACACGCCACGTCGTGCCACTTGATGCCGTCGTTGTAAAAGTTGTTCAGAATGGACAGGCAAGACTCGTCGTTACCCTAGAAATGAACGACATATAATTAAAATAATAGTAAATCATTGACAAGGTTCTGCTGATACATCAATTTTCAAAAAGAGATGTCGGAAGCTAAGATAAGTTCCCCTTTAATTATTTTGAATGTTTTTGGATTTTTCTTTGGACCACATCTTCAGCAAGTTGACTCGGAAAAATTCAGGTGTCTTGATTGTTTTGTATATCAGAGAAATCCTGATCTCCGTAAAGTCAGGAAAAAATATTAAAAAATAATTTTCAAAAAATGCATTGATTAATTTTCTATCTTTTATATATATTGTATATAATTTTTTTATCCATAAATAAATAATTTTTGATTCATAAATAAATTATCTAAAAAATACTCCAATTTAATTCAAAAACTAACATACTTTTTAAAATAGCAAAATGAGCTTTTAAAATAGTGTAACATATAGAGAACATTAAGAATAAGAAAGAGGGGGTACATGAATTTCAGTTTTTTAATCCCTCATGAAAAATGTGTAATTTCTCTACAGTTTCTGTATCTACTTCACTGAAGTTGAGAGAGCATCGATAAAAATAAAATATTAAAGGTCACATATGAGAGCAACGATGTAAATCCAAAGATGGCAAAGCGCTTTCACTCTCTCTATCCTACAAGAATATAAATCAGAGTTTCACGAGGTCAACATGCGCTTCGAAAGCATGTTAGAGTCTGCTGATTGCTCCATTTGGCGAAATTTTTATCACAATTCCCTCTTTAAATTCTTATTTGTATTACATTACTTCTTTATATTAAAATCTATTTAATTCTAATTATATTCGTAATTAATTAATTAATTACGTGTGTAAATTATATGTAACGAAAAAAATATTATAAAAATATAAAAACTTTGAGAGTAAATAATAAAAAATATCGTACCTGTGCAGCTTCGCGATTGTCCGGTTGCGGTTGACCGTATCCTCCGGTGTTGCTCCAATCTCCGGAATTACGTTGAGTTGTCGATCCGATCTTGGCACCAGATCCGGACCAGAACCATCCGTTAACGTTCTGAGGCTGAAGATCAGGTCGGTCGCAGCCGTTGAAGTTGCACTTCCGGCCGGACGTCCAAATGTATCTCACGTTTCCTGATTGAACGACAGTATCGATGTAGTATCAATTTGGGAGTTTGTGTTCTCATGCGATTAATATGACAAGCGAGGCGAAATGTTTACTAGGAGAAAAGAAGTTTTCAAAAAGCACGCGAGTTTTTTTCCATATAAAAACTTAATGGAGGAGATAATTAAATTTCTTATTGTTAGCTATAAATTATGACGACTTTTCAATCTTTGCATCACTCGATGCATCGATTATTTTCACCCGGACATCCGCATCACTTGTGACCGCAATAGAAATTTTTTTTCCTAGATATAAAATTATCTAAAATATAATGGCAGGTATTCATAAACGTTAAATGAGAATCAAGGAAGCGCGGAAGAATAACCATCATTTTCATAATAAGATTGTATATCTTAATCAAATAGCATCTAATTGTCCGAACAATAACTCAAACAACCTCGTATAAAATGTCATATATTCGACGTGCAACTCGATTTATCATTAAGATAAATTACTAACTGACTCCATCGTATAATAATGCATGCTGCATAATCATCTTGTAACAAAGAAGTCATATGTTATCATTTAACTTCATACGAAATATTTTTGAAATAATTTTACTGAAATTCTACGAATCTCTACATATGAATAAACATGCTCTGGACATCAGCATAAACATTTACTAAATGAATTATTTACTTAAAGAATATTAGTTTAGAAAATCTGCATTGCTTCTTGAAGTCCATCATTTAAACTCGCATTATTTCACGCGAATTAATTAAAATAAATACCAAATCAAGCATCAAAGATATATCTTATATTTATATATCAGATACTTTGCAATGTGTTATTTGAATTTATTATTCAATTTATTTTAATTAAGCACTATTCAACTTTTCGAACCTGCCGTTCATCGACCTTAGACGCCTTAAATTAAGTTTTGCCCAACATTTCCTTATTTTATCCTCTTCATTATATTTTCAATCTGCGGTTTTCCGCGGAATTTGATTCTCCGTCTATCAAATAATTAAATAACTCACATCCGACAATCAAAGTTTATTGCACAGCACGATGCTTGTTCATTATTAATTATAGCTTAATTAATAATCTGTATTAATTTGCCGACGATTATCAATTTATCGTTTATTTTTAGAGATAATTTTATTATTTATAATATAAATAAAGAAAAAAATTTAATATTATGCAACAAACATTTTTTTCTAAAAGTCTGCATTGATAGAATAATTTTGATTAATCTCAATCTCTTGATTGATGAATATTAACAATTAGAAGATATATTCAGAAAAAGGAATTAAAATTGATGTGGATGTATAAAGTATAATAATATAACTATTTAAACGGAAAATTAATTAGATATTGATTATTTGAAAGTTTAAGAAAAAAGAAAGTATATACGATAATATATTAAGTGAAAACGTGCGTGTGAAACCATAGCGAAAACTTCTATTATATAGGATTATTACACGAGAATACAGATATAAATTATATAATAAATAGATATAAATAGATACAAATTGTACAAATTATCAAATAAAAGAACATCATTTTTTGAAGTAATAATTGCAGTAATACGAGAATTAAACAATGTTGATAAAATTTGTTGTGCAAAGTATTATCGTATAAACAACTAATTTAAATCTTTTATTTATCATAGTTTTATATTAGTTTTGTTTCATCTAATTTATTTGAATTATTCGATGTATTAATTATCAATTAATTATTAGATGCGATTTATAACTATAATCATAATTAAACTTTAAATATACACATTTAAACGCAGAAGAACCGTAATAAAAATTAAAAGCCATCCAAAGTCTTGACTTTAGTTTCATGCTTAAGCCCTGGATTAAGAAATTTAAAAACAAGACTGACATACATTAAAATCGACATTTTATATTTCAACATTGCTCGTTCGAATGAAAGTTAATCGGTGCGACAAACATTTCGTGACCACCGACCAACCAAGAATCTAGGCTCGGAAGACAAATATCTCGTTGAAGTCACAAGTACCTACATAAAGTCCCTTTCACGTCGGCTCCTTTTTTTTTGCATCAACGGGGCATCAACGGTCAAGTGAAAGTGACCTGCTTAGCCGAGTATAGGGGTATATATACACACGCGAGAGCATCTATATAGTCACCCGCGACTCTAAATTGCAACTCAAATTCCTCGCACCGCGAGCAGGTTCAAACCGGGTCGCAGAGAAATGACGGAGAGAAATGACGAGCCACAAGGCACGAAGAGTTGCGCCACCGGAATCTATGCGGATCTCTTCTGATCCTCGCTACCCCTTCAGAAGATCTAATCGGCATAACATCTAAATAAGCAACATTGTGTAATCGTTTGCGCCCGCAAACTCTTAAGTTTCTTCTTCGATTTAGTTACAGCCAGCCTGATCGAAACAGAAGAAGAAACCGAAGTTTGCGGGCGCAAATAATTGCACAATGTTGCTTAGATGGTGCTATGATTAGATTTCGATTGGGTTTGATTCGATTAGGCTAATCTAATCCAACCGAGGTAGAGGAAACTCCGCTTTTACTTCTCACGCACTCGAGAGTGCTTATTTTATTGTATTTTGCGGGATTGCAACGTGAAAATTTTCCCACCGACAATAAACGAAATGAACGTTAATGAGATTCGTGTCTCTCGAATTTTTAACGCAGATCCTGGAAAAAAATTAATGTGCGGCCAGGTTCGGAAATTTCCAACGGAATATACAATATGATAATATATTATACTTCACTATATGTGCACGCATATTTTGCAAATTGATTTTGTATTTTGCAACTCCATATATGAATTATGGTAATTTTCGTTTTGCAAACAAGTAAGAAGCATTAAAAAAATGACAATACATATTTTCACTTACGACATAAAATTCTTCGTGCATCGATATTTTTACTCAAGAAAACGTCAAGTCAAGAGTCATCAGAAAGGATCTATCACCGAAGCTTTATGATTGGCTACCGGTTCTATTGCGTCAACTCTCGAATAATCAAGGATTAAAATTTATCATTTATCAATTCTCCGATTGTCGAAATCAGTGACTCTTGAATTATTCGCAAGCGATTATAAGATTATATGAATTTTCATAAGACATATACATATATGTATAAACTGGAAGGAGACAATAAAAATGTCGAGCTTCTTGTCATCGCGGAGACTCACCTCTCGCTAATCTCTGCTTGATGAATTCGTTTTCCTGAGGGGTCTCTAGGGACACGGCGTCCATGCAATGACGACGACAGATGTTGCGAGCATCCAACCAATCCACCTCGAGATTTCTGGTCGGCTGATGTTCCCAGCTGAAGAAGTACGAGTGACTGACCCCTCTGCCATCTCTGTATGACGAATGACGGACGCCTGAAGAATGGGGTTAATACATCATCAATAATCGCGATCATATTTAAGTTGATCGATAGCTCGGTTCAACGAGTTCATCGAGTCTCATAGAGGTCTATTTATATATCTATTTATATGAAATACAAAAAGACTCTATCCCTGAAATATGATAGTCCATTCGCGGATCTATGTGTCAATTAAGACCTTTTCTCTTTGTCTTGATTAATATTATAGGTGGGTGAAGTATCTTAAAAAATTTAAAGAAATCATCTTCTGTATTGTAAAATCGTACGCTATAAAAGAACGTAAATGGAGCATGATACTGCAATATGTGTTATTAATTAATGCAAAGCCACCACGAATTACGACACAACAAATGCATTTCTAATGAGCGACTCTTCTTTCTCTCTTTTATAAGTCCGGGTTTCCGTTATTTTCCACCTAGTTAGTCACGCAACTGTTAACTAAGGAGCGAAAAGGTGACGAAATGTCACTGGGAATACTTACGATTCGCGCAGCTTCGCGGATCGGGCAAGGCTAAACGACGCTGGGCATTCACGGCGACGATGCCGACGAGGAGCAAGCAGATGGCCCTCATACTCCTGGACCTTGAAAAGAGAAGGAGAACGGGAGATTGGTTTAGAAGCTAATTTCGCAATGCATATCATCTCATCGCTCGAATTTTATTGAACGGACTTGTGTAACAAATCAATCGTTCGAGAGTTTCGAGTGCCAAAAAAAGATTTCAGATCAACACATTAACACATTTATTTCACAGAAGAGCTTGGCGTGAAATATTTTCATCGATTTATGTCAGCAATGTTCGATTAAATTAATACGTATTATATGGAATAACTCCAATCTCTTGACATTTCAAATCCGTTATTTCGGATTTCGGAGCAAGTATCAACTCGATGCCACAGTTTCGTGTAATGCAACATGCGTGCACAGAAAGAAAATTTACCCTGAAAATCATTGTAATTGTGGGACAGTGTGGTATTGGAAGAATTTTATAAGAGTTTCTCTGATCAAAAAATATTTACCACAATAAAAAATATTTAATATGTGGTGCAGAGTGAATTTTATTAAAAAATAAAATTAATATTTTTTATTGTGGTAAATATTAATCAGAAAAATTCATAAAATTCTTATATATTGTCTCACAATTACTATGATTTTCAGGATAAATTCTAAGAGAAAATTCTCTCTGTGTACATATGTACATATAATTAATGCAACGCGAGCGAGAATTATCGCGATTTCTAGTGCAATCATCCTGAAAATTAGGAAAATTACACTCTTTTGATATTGATCGTGAAAACTATATTTATAACGTAAAACGATATTTTTCACTTCCTACTTCCCCTCATTTATTAATTTTCTTTTATACATATATTAATATTTTTATATTAATATATTTAAAAAATTATATATTTATATATATTTAATTCTATTAGAAAATATAATAAAAATCACCATAAGAAAAATAAATGTTTAATGTGATTAATATTATATAATATTATTATATTATATTAATATTATATATTATTATAATGAACTTTATTTATATATGATTTACATATATTGACAATCTATTTTCATTTTATTTTTGATTTAATTTCATTTAAAATAAAATATAAAAAAGTATATGTAACAATATACATGCAAACCTATTAGAAAACTCTGACAATAATGGGTCTATACCGTATTCATGTTTTTATGCAAATAGTTATTACATAAATTCAGAGCACTTGACATAGACAACCAAACGTGACATAGACCAGAGTAGTATCATGGAATTTGTAAGAAAGTCGGCAATTCTTTCGGGAAATGGGAACGCTGAACATTTGCCAACGCTATTGAATATGTGTCCAGCAGTTCGAGGTTACGGGGTTACAAGGCTTTTATATGATGCCCGTACGTGTGCTAAATTTACCCAACACAATCCTAATCATTCAAATTTTTGACACAATTTTCCTGCAAATTTAACATAGCGTTTCATAGCACTTTTTCAATCACGTTTAATATATAATATCTTTCGAATTATTCTAAAGGAAGATGAAATCAATTAAATAGCGTCAAAATTAAAAATTTGAATTTTAGGAAAATATTTTTGGAGAAAATCTAGTTTTAATGAAATTTATTAAAAATAGTTCTCTTGGTGTATCTTTGTAATTTTCTCCAAAATTAATATAACATTTGAAAACTATCATTCAATAAGTAAGAGCTTTATTTCACAAACAATGAGAGGAGAAAATTACTATGTGATACATGTGCATTTATAAAATATTTTTCTCACATTGCATTTAATTTGCATTACTAAAAGATAGGTGTCTTCCAGACTTTCTTTACGTTAATCAATTATTCGAAAGAAAAATAATTGTTAACTATTAGAAATTCTGTTTTCTCCTGTAGGGACAATATATGTTTCATAATTGTCGTCTACTTCGCGATTAATCAACGTTCTAACTCGATTTGATTAAAAGTAAACGGCGAATCGAATTATGACTTCCGGATTAATTTCGCGCGACATGAACGTCGGCGCATCGTGATGGTTTTACTAATGACTGTCATCCATTGTCAGGACAAATGCAAAGCGAACCACTTTCTAGAAAATCAAATGATACGACAAAGCCGTTGCAAAACACGTCTATAAAGCTACCAAGTAAAAGCCATATCCAATTGATCGGATAGACTATCTTCAGTTCGGAAGGCAATACTTTGCACGATTAGTAAAAGCCGTGAGGGAAAGAATGGTTTCTTATGTACGATCTCTTAATTTGTTTGTAACCCTTTCAAGGAAATTATACAAAGAAAACTTTCACATCTCTCGACATTCAGATTTAAATAAACTTGGGGGACATAATTAGCATTTAACTCTCTTTGCGGTGTAAAATTAAATTATTATAATGATTTAATGATGTTTCAGTGAAATTATAATGAACGATCCTTGAGATAGCGATTGTAGGTGATGTTTGTTTTATTCATGATGAAAACGACTTGCCTGCACAAGGGAAAATACATTTTCAAAGATATAATTATTGAAAGAAAGTAATTAAAAATCATCGAATCGCGTGAAAAATTAAGCGAAGAAAATATTAAGAGAAAGATCACTTATCATCTGAATTATTTATTACTCTGATTCTCTAGTTCGGTAAACTTGTACATCAAACAATAAGTATACAATACACGACGAGTGGAAACATGAATTTGTTGAATGTCTAATTTAGTCACTACAGCATTCATATTTATAAGTCATAGTACGTCAAAGACATGCTATAATACACTCCTTCTTTTTAAGAAATAACAAACTGGTTTGAAGTCGAACTGGTTAAACTCGAAGGTCTATATATATATATATATGTATACGTATATATGTGTGTCTTTCCATAATAAATAATCATTAATATTTATATTACTGCAATATACTGTAATATTTAAAATAATTATATTAATGAAAATTATAAATAGAGAATTTTTTTATTAATCAATATAGCTGTCAGCAATTGCAGTGTGAAAAATTAGAAACGTATAAAAACTTTGGCGTATTTAAACAGTGCAACCATATCTCGGAATTGTAAGGAAAGAAGTTAAATCCAAAGAAGAACATCGTGTATCGCTATTTATTCTTCTATAGTAGAACAGTTCTTTGACAATCGTTTCCTTCGCGGATAGCCGTCAATTAAAATGGAAACGTAAGTGTTATTACAACGTTGTAATAATGTATCGTACCTGTTAAATGTGTACCGCGTGAAATGGAGTGTTCAGATCGAAAGTTGATAGCTCAACGCTAGAATAGAGGTTGATGGGTTATGAGAGCGGCAATATGTATTAGCGAGATAAAAACACATCGTGTGTTTAATGGTCGATTCTAATGAACGAGACTAATACTAATGAACCGGTAGAAAGGATACAAAAGTGAATAAAATTCATGCGTCGAATAAATTGAGGATAAGATTGTTGACATCTTTTTCACGTAACTGCATCATGAATCGTATCTTGGATTAAATTAGTCTTAGAGATTTCTTAGATTATTTTCACTCCCCATTTTACTTTCATAATGTTTAAATTGAAGCAGCCTTTTTCTTTTATATACAATTAAATCAATATTCGAAAAAAAATTACATCAATAGTTGAGAAATATTTAATGTATTCACTAAATATTTTTTTCGAATATTATATATATATATATATATATAAAATTTATAATAGATACAAAATGTATGAATATTAATATTAATATTAATATTAATATTATAATAATTTAAAATTATTAATAGTTGAGAAAATAAGCATTAAATATATTTTCAACTATTAATAATTTTCTAACTATTTTAAACACATTTAATGTATGATATTGCAGTTTCAAAAGTATCTGCTATATGTTGAGTTAGATAATATTTGAAGTTCCGTTAAATTACTTATTTTTTTTCTTTAGCAAATTATATTTATAATAATTTATTTCTTGTTCATTTTTAATTGTATTATTTGTATTTATTTTTCAAACGCATACTTAGAGGAGCAAAACTATTAAATACTCATCAATGTATGTTTACTATAGGCTAACATTAACATTAGATGAAAGGGTTAACGATGTCTTAATGATATATTATTAGGCCTCTCTTTTCTAGATATTAAATCAATTTTCTCAATACGAGAAGTGTTATGCGGACATAATATTAACATACATATTTAACAATCGTTGAGTGATCTCAACGAGTGTTCCTTTTTTTCGTCGACGTTACAAAACTCGTCATTCTCAAACTCTTGTCTCCTGATGATTTTATTACATCAACGTCAAAACGATATGTTTAGAGAAGATCATGATTTTCTGATGAAAGACACGAGAAAGGAAAAAAAGGAGAAGCATTCCACATCTCGAGCCTATTCAAATATAATCGTCGTACAGAGAATGGATGCCACGGATTTAGTTGTTATCGAGTCTACGGTTGTGCAAAATTCTCTTGCGAAAGAACATTTCCATGCACGAGAGCAAACGTACCTTACAGTAATATATCTTCATTATACATGTCTTCACCTACGCAATTTTCCTCTTTGAAACGTGTCTCCTCTCGTGCGCGATTATTTTTTTTTCTTTTTTTTATTTTTACATACAATAAAGCTTTAATATGCACTTAACATATATTCTGATCAAACAGAAGTATATATATATATATATATATTATTTACGAAACAAAATTGTTTTGCAATTCTTATTTTAATCTCAGTTATTAATTTAAATATTTAATTTGATAATTTTAATTATTTTTAATTAAATTTATATTTTATATTTAAATTTGAATCAAAATAATAATTAAAATATCAAATTAAATATTTAAATGAATAATTGAAAATAAAATAAGAATTGAAAAAAATAATTTTGCTTTGTAAATAATAATTATCCAACGCGTATTTTTCCTGATATACATATACAAGCGAAAATTGTTGTCTTCCCTTCTCTTCTGTCTGGAAAAATTATATGCAATGTAATCTAAAGTAATGGAAAGGGAATTAATGGTTCTCGCGATAATCTTTTTTTATAGAGTTAATGATGCTGCCGTAAATAACTTCTAACTGCGAACTCTTCTCACGTACTTTATCGTTTCTC